ATGCCTTGGATATCATTTCTTTTTTTCACGGGCACTCACTTTGCCTAGCAAAAATATAAAACGAGGAGCTAATGTCCTATAAACGACACCAAAAAATTAAGATTAGCATGCAACCATAATTTGTTGCCAACGGATATCTGAAAACAACGATCAGGGGTAAGCGTTCGAATGCTAGTTATCTGCTACGTTGCACTTGCTTTATATTGAAGCAGGGAGCAAGATATCAAAAATTAGAACAAAAACACAATTGAATCATTTTCCCTTGCTGGTGAAATCATTTAATCCAACGTCAAATTCTCCGCCTTTTACTTTTCTATCAACTTTTGCACAATCGGCTGATGCACTGTTTGGAAATTTCGTGGTTTTGTCATTGAGATGCTTAGACCAGCAACTGAAGTCATGTTGCGAGATTTTTTAATTCCTTCCCGGCATTTGCTGAGAAGATTGACTGAATTTAAGCCTCGAAATATAATGTGACATGCCAAAGCGTCAGTTATGTTGATTGTATTAAGAATGCTCTCACTGATAAGTAAGTTAACTATCAATCTTGTCGAGTTTCTTCTCTTCTGAAAGTGAGGTACAAATATGTGTATGTTGGTCTAGCATGCCGTGCCATGGAGTCAAGAAGAAAAAAGTATATATTAATATGGCAGGAGGAAACGAATAAAATTGAGATGGATGTTTGCTGGCTTAAGATGCTGTCCTCTTCAAGCAATTTGAAGTACAAATTTCGTTTCAGAAATTGGTTTTGCAATTTTGAGGGCTACAATTATAGTCAAAGAGTTAGATCAAGGTGTTTGCTTTCGTTTTGCACTTTTCTGTCATTATGTGTAGTCAGAGAATCTCTTAAACAGATTATGAAGGGTCAGTATCATACTTCTGAATAAAGTCATGATACAAAGTGGTTACCACAGAATACACCTAAGTTAAAATCAATATCATCGTATTATCTTACTACAAAGTACATCATAATGGAACCATACCAATTAAATGAAGTCCGTTATGATAAGCAGGCGGTTCGAGCAGTTCACGGAAGCCACATAGGTAAATAGGTCCGGTTAACTGCGTGTAAGCCGAAACAGGTAAACGTTGTGGTTTGTGGGACCATTTGCTAACTCTCATGATGTTCATCTATTGGCGGCCCCTTTGCATGTTACAACACGGCGTGTTTCGAACTTATGAAATGATTGGAATAAAGGCTGTAGGTTAAACCATTGTTCAACAAATGGAGGACCCAGCGTTGGCGGAAACTTTGTTCTACGTCAAAACCCTTTGGCCGATTTTCCGACAATTCTTAGTTACCCCTGCGTTTATGCTAAATCTCTGTGGGTTGGTAGACAACGCGACTGGGCTCCGACAGGTTAATCCGAGTCTCTCCACGGAGTTGACCATGCTCGAATAAAAGAAACGGTGCTGTGTAAGCTAATCCGCGACCTGTGTGCTGCAATTAATACAGCACCGTGTAACAGTTGTTTTCAAAACTCAATCAAATCTGTCTCTGAATGAAACAGCTGAAATTTTGTTTTTTTATGAATGGTGTGACTTTAAATTGCACATGGACGCTAAGTTAGCCTTGCTTACTACTACCTACTAAGAAAGCAGTTAGATATTCAATAAGCTCTGCATTTTTAAAGAATTTATCGATTCATTTACACACCTCCATACCTCTAGAGACTTTGGAGGAAAAAATTGTGGCCAGTATACGTCCGATTCTGCCACCGTAAGATAGTTCTATTTATTTCATGCATCTTTTTAGAGTATTTCTCCCCTGAGAGACAGTTATGGATACGTATTTATATTTCATGTACAATTGTCATGTTTTTTATCAAATATTTTGAAAATCCATCAGCAATGCACGTTCCCCCCTTAAAAAGCTCAGACATTGCTATTAAGCAATCTTTTCCTAAGGTGTCCACTTTTTGTCTTTTGCCTCACTGTCATTAAAGTTTACCGTTCTCTTCTTGAGCAATGAGAGTATGACCACACTCTGTCTGTGGTATTTAGCTGCAACTTGCGTCGTACTTTGGCGAAAAAACATTTTCGTTCCTTTCAGGTCTACACCTTTTCTTTGCATTTACCTCTTACCTCGTAACTGCTTTAAAATTTTAGCTTACTATACGCCGTAAAATATTAACAAGTTCCCAAGTTTTTCGAAATATACATTTTATATCATGCTCTTCTTGTCTTTCATGCTATGGTGGAAAGCTATTTTTCTGAAGTGTTAAGTCTACAGAAATCGCAACCATAAACTCTGAAGCTTTCTATTGAAGTCGGTTGTACACGATGTTGAAATGAGGTTAGGAAATAGATCTGACTAGTTTTAAGGCGAGTCATGGTTATTATGATTGGTTAAAAAAGTATGATAAATAGTCACATTATCTCTGCAAGTATTATGGCTATTGTGGTATCAGTCCGGCCAATATGGTATCATCTTGGGAAGTATTTATAAGACCGGCCTCATCTGTTATCAGGAATGGAAATTAAATGACGTTAGATACGTATCTCTCTCTAGTTGTTTGTTTGTTGTTGTTGTTGTTGTTTTTTTGGGTTGAACTATTTATGGATTTAGTTATTGCTTCTTTGTTTTTTTGCTAATGATTTTGTCTGAAATATTTCATCAGGCTGTTTTGAGTTACTTGTAGCTGAATAGATAAGCTAGGAGAGAAGTGTAGTTCGCTCTTGAAACCTGACGGTGTGGAATCGCCACTAAGAAACCATTTTGCTCTCATTTCAGCTGATTTGTTAGCGAGTAGTTCTCGAAAGTTCGATATGACGTCTGGTGTTCCTTGTTTGTCTATCGATGTTGACGTTGATATTCTGACGCCATGACCACTACAACCATATTATCAAGATGACATGCCTTGAACAATACTACAACCGTAAAATTATAAAAAAGGCTGAGCACACTTTTCACCTGCAAAAGCTAAAATATTTTCCTCGGTTTTCGTGAAGATTTGTCGCGAGCTACTATGGGGCAACACTTTCCCTCTAAGTGTTGAACCGTTTATTAGTGTTTGTCTCATGTGAGGCAAAACCATCACAAATGATTAAATATATTGTTTGAGTGGAAATCGATACCAGATTACATGTTTTTTTCTTCCTTTGTTCAATTTTTTTTTGTCATCTTAGTCAAGCACTTTTCTGAATTACTTTTCCATAGCCATTCTGCGAGACTTCGCTTTAAAATTTGACGCTCAAGGTTTAAACTTCTTCGGCCGCTTCTATTTTAAGGAGGTTGGCATTACTGAATGTCAACGTTGTAGTCACTAAGGCAGTAGATCTGCTATTAATATCTTGTCATCAAAAATTTACCTCTCACGTTGAAAAATGCAGTCGCAAAGTATTGTTACGTAACCTAAAGGTAAAAATGAACTAATGTCCCAGTTGATAACAACAACTCTGAGATATATATTCGACACTTTTCTTTCTTGCATAGTCATTTAGAATGTACAACGTGAGGTTAATAACTAATGGGTCTGTGTTGGATCGATGTCTATAATGATATTGTTTGTTGATCGGTTTGTTCATCTTGCTTAAATTTTTCTTGTTCTCGTTTCCAGTCTAAAATTATCCTCTGTACTCTTGGTTACCTCGTTTACTCTTTGGTTAGAGTTATCCATTTTCGTGTTTAATCTCCCATACAAAACCGAAAATTCTGTGACCTTCCCCAAGGTAATTTGGCATCTCACGAAAAAATCTGAAATATCACGAGGAAGCAGTGTTGTACACTGTTGAATATTGTACAATTAAATCGAAATTTTTGTGGAAAAAATATGCTCGAAGAATGACCAATCAATTAGAAATTATAAACCTTTAAAGACGTTATTATTCAGGAGTTACTATTTACCTGGATAACAGTGTTATGCTTGCATCTTAACCCTTTAGCTTCGCGCTACTATGACGAAGGTCACGGGAATGAGTTCCGCAGGATACCGAGGAAGCCACAAAGTTTTCTCTTGGCTTCCCGGACTCGATCCCGGCCTATATTGAAACATCTGCTTTTGAAAGCAGCTTCTTTATTGATCATGATTTGTGCAAATATATAAAGTTAAAAAAAAATGCAGTTACAGCTTCAAAAGTATTCCAAATAGTTAAACTGAACAACGTCATCGTGACATTTCTTGCGAGAAGTTGTGATGTCTTCTGGATAAACAATAGGTAAGCACTACACAAACGTTATCAAAGTGTTTAAAAATTACCAATTGAAAGACCGATTAGTGCGTTGATGGATGAAGAATCTTAAATATGGAACGATGTTAAGTCCTACGCCGAAAAGCTTTGGGTTGGAGCACGATGTTTACGTTCGAGAGCTGACCAAAGTGCCAATCATGGACCAACATTGGCAAACCGAGTTACATGGGAAATTCATTACGTGGGCGTTCTTGGGGGCGGGGACTGAAGAGACCTACACATAGGTAGAACTTAATAATTGAGCTTCAGCTCACGTGAGGGAATCTTAACAATTTTAAAAGTATTAAGTGTTTTCTTTGGGCTGACAGACAAACGACACTTAAGGTTGGTTCCTTGGCGTTAAGAAATGTAGCTGTCGATGTTTGCCTCGAGCGAAATTGGACTACGACTACGAAATTGTTACAGCGATTTTTACGAAATGAACTGATTTAGCACCTTTTTTTGCTGCAGTGAACTTTTGAAGCGGCCATCTCTCGACTTTAGGATTATTGATGATGATTTTGTGGGTGAATAGCACCGTGCATTAAGAATGTCGAAACATATAACAAGGCTGCTTACGATTCAGCCATCTTGATTCTCGCGCCGTCTTGTCTTGAGGGCGGGCGCCGTCATCGTTGATTGTCCTATTTCCTGTGTAGTGACGTCTAGCTATTAACAAATCTCTTAAATAATAAAATGTCTTATTCTCAAGTGAAGGGCTTTATGGAGC